GAAGGGAAGGGAAGGGAAGGGAAGGGAAGGGAAGGGAAGGACCAGAGGAGAAGGAAGGGGAAAAGGGACCAGAGACATGAAAAGGAAAGAAAAAGGAAAGACCGGAAGACACAAGGAAAGGGAGAGACCAGAGGTTACAAGAAAAAGGAAAAACCAGAGGACACAAGGAAAGGGAAAGACCAGAGGAGGCAAGAAAGGGAAAAGCCAGAAGAGACCAGACCAGATCAGACACACACAAAACCACATCAAAACCCAGCCCCTAAACGCACCAAAACCCAGCCCCAACCCCTCCAACCGGGACCCACCTCGGAACTCCATGCTGGCAGCATCCTCCAGCAGCTCCTCCTTCATGTTGCCCAGCGTCTCCACGATCATGTCCTTCATCTCCTCCTGCTTGCGGTTGGCGATGCCCATCAGGGACTCGTAGAGCTCGCTCTCCTTCCTGCGGGTGTACTCCAGGCGCTTGGGGGTGATCTGCAGGTCCCTCTGCATGTCGAACGCCTGGTTGATGAAGATGTTGAGGCAGCGCCCGTGAACCTCGCTCAGCCTCGTGGCCGCCTGCACCAGGTGCTGCTGCAGAACCTGCCTGGAAAAGGCGCTCAGCAGCCGCAGCTTCTCCAGCATGGAGGAGCCGGGAATGCCGCAGGGGCTGGACGGGCTCAGGAACTGCAGATCCAGCAGCTGCCGCTGCAGAGGGGATTTATCCCGATCGGGTTCGCTGCCCACGGTGGATTTATCCCGATCGGGTTCGCTGCCCACGGTGGATTTATCCCGGTCGGGTTCGCTGCCCACGGTGGATTTGTCCCGGTCGGGTTCGCCGCAGGGCTCCGAGACTCGCAGGAAGAAGATGGGAACGGAGAATTTCTCTTTGATTTCCCGAAGTTCTGCCTGGTCCGACGGGGACAGCTGGGGCTCGCTGATGGCGAAGGTGACAACGGGAAGCACTTGGTTCACAAACTCGCCCAAGGTGGCCTCAGCTGACTGGAAGCCCCGGCATGGAGCCACCACGATGTCCACTTCCTGGGGAAAAGGAAAAAAATTGGTTTGGAGAGGGTTTTTTCCCCTGTGGAAAAACGCCCTGGGATTCATTCACACAGCGAAAAAAAAATGGAATTCTTCAAAGCAGATCTGGAGTCTTCCCCCCTTTCCCTTTCTTGTCTCTTCTGGTCTTTCCTTTTCCTTTTTCTTTCCTTTTCCTTTCCTTTCCTCTGGTTTTCTTTTCCCCTTTCCCAGTTAGGCTGATCTCTGGACAACTTCAAATTCCTTATTTTGGACCAAACCCTTGGAGTTTTAGCCCAGTTTAGGGCAAGGCTGATCCATAACTCCAAATTCTTTATTTTGGACCAAATGCCTTGGAATTTCCACGACAAAGTCCTGGAATTTATGCACAAAGCAAAAAAAAAAACTGAATTCTTCAAAATTCTTCAGATCTGGAGTCTCACCTACAACAATTCCAAATTCCTTGCTTTGCACCAAATCCTTGGAGTTTTGGGACAAAGTTTAGAAGTGTCCCAGGAAGGAGCCAGCACAGACAAGCTGGAATTTTTCACCTTATCCCTGTCCTATTTTCCATCAAGCCTGCAATTCCTGGATGGTCACAGCATCCCAGAACCCCAAACAAGAAAGAAAATCAGGAATCAAGCAGCTCTTGATCCAGAAAAAATCCAGGAATTCAGTGGGATTCCAAGCTGCAATTCCTGGATGATCCCAGAACCCTAAACATGAATCAAAATCAGGGATCAGACAGATCCTGACCACAGTAATTCCAAGAATTCCGTGGGATCCCCTCAGGGCCCGCTGGAGTGTGGAGAATTCCTCATTTCCAGAGCAGTTTAAAGCATTCCCTGGCTCCATCCCAGTTTTTTGTCCTGTTTTTTCAGGCTCAGGGTACTTTAATCCCTGTTTGCTCAGTGAGCTGAGGTGCTGAAAACCCAATTTTGTGCCATTTTCACCCAAATTTCTCCTCAGACAATGACTGCAGGCCCAGCTCAGCCTTTTTCCTGCTCCAATTTGATATTTTGCCTTCCAAGAACAGCCTGTGACTCACTCCAGTCTGACAATTCCTGCTTTTATTTCATTTGGGAGCTCATTCCATGCCTCCCTTATTCATCCCAGCTACTTTTATACCCCCAGATTCCACTTGAAATTCTCTTTGTTTTGTTTCACACACCCAATTTTGCTCAAATCCCACCCTCTTTTTTCTGTTTCCATGGAAATCTTGAGGGGAAAAAAGTTGAGTCACAAAATAAATCTCAATTAAGTTGATTGATTTCTCTTTAACTTTCCAGTTTTGTCACAACGACTGGAAGTTTTTCATTCCCTACAATCCTTACACTTTTCATCCCAAAATTCCAAATCCAACAAGGGCACGAAAAAGAAAATAAATCCAAGGAAAACCAAGCCCATCCCAGCTTCCAGGCACAGCTGATTGGATTTAGGGAAGCAGCCAAGTGTTTGCTCCCACTGTAAATCCCATAATAATCCCAATATCTATCTGGTCCCGTGGATTATTCCCCATGACCCTGCTGAATTCCTAAAATCCCCAAGGAATCGGGCAGCTCTGCCAAAATATCAGATTTTCCATCCTGATATTAGAGGTTTAAAAATATCCCAGAGCAGCACGAGGTTCCCACAGCAGCCACCCCATGGAAATGGGATTTGTGGTTCCCTCTCTGCTCCTTTTTGGGGAAAATTTGGGATTCAGGAATCCTGCAGGAAGAGGAGAAAAAGGGCCAGGGGACAGTGGCAGTGCCACCCCAAGCTCCCCACAGGGCAGGGACAAGTGGGGAATTGGGAATTTATTGATCAGGGCAGGGACAGTGGCAGCGCCATCCCAAGTTCCCCACAGGGCAGGGACAATGAGAATGGGGAATTTATTGATTATGGCTATGGGACAGTGACAGTGCCAACCCCAAGACCAGGACAGGGACAATTGGGGAATTGGGAATTTATTGATCAGGGCTATGGGGCAGTGGCAGTACCACCCAAAGCTCCCTGCAGGGCAGGGACAATTGGGGAATTGGGAATTTATTGATCAGGGCAGGGACAGTGGCAGTGTCACCCCAAGCTCCCCAAGGACATTGGCAGTGCCACCCAAAGCTCCTCACAGAGCAGGGACAATTGGGGAATTGGGAATTTATTGATCAGGGCAGGAATAGTGGCAGTGCCATCCCAAGCTCCCCAAGGACAGTGCCAGTGCCACCCAAAGCTCCCCAAGGACATTGGCAGTGCCACCCGAAGCTCCTCACAGAGCAGGCACATTGGCAGTGCCACCCCAAGCTCCCTGCAGGGCAGGGACAACTGGGGAATTGGGAATTTATTGATCAGGGCTATGGGGCAGTGGCAGTGCCACCCCAAGCCCCCCACACGCCCCCTCTCAGTGCCCAGCACGGTGCCACCCTCACCTTGAGCAGCGCGTAGGGCAGCACCACCTCCAGCTCCGCCACCCTCTGCGCGGGATCCTCGGCGTCGCCGGGCACCTGCAGGTCCTGCTCGGGGATGGTGTCCCAGTGCCCGCTGTGAGCTGCCAGCGCCTGCACCAGCTCGTACTGCCCGGGCAGTGCCAGGCTCAGCCGCGTCCGTGCCCCGTGCGTGAAACGCACACGGCGGCGCCGGCAGCGCTCCTCAGTGCCAGCCCCGGGCCTGGGCCGGTCCCCGGTGCCAGCCCCGGGCCTGGGACGGTCCCCGGTGCCAGCCCCGGGCCTGGGACGGTCCCCGGTGCCAGCCCCGGGCCTGGGCAGCAGCTCCTCAGTGCTGGGCGTGGGTGAGGGCAGCAGCTCTTCCGTGCCAGTCTCAGGGCTGGGAAACAGATCCCCGGTGCCAGGTGCGGGCAGCTCCTCGGTGCCAAGCGTGGGCAGCAGGTCCCTGGTGCCAGCCCCGGCTGAGGGCAGGCCCCCGGTGCCAGTCCCAGGTGAAGGCAGGTCTCTGTTGCCAGTCTCAGGTGAGGGCAGCTCCTCGGTGCCAATCCCGGGTGAGGGCAGGTCCCCGTTTCCAGTTTGGCATGAGGGCAGCTCCTTATTGCCAGTCCCAGGTGAGGGCAGCTCCTCGGTGCCAGCCCCAGGTGAGGACAGGTCCCTGTTGCCAGTCCCAGGTGAGGACAGCTCCTTGTTTCTAGTCCCAGATGAGAGCAGATTCCTGTTGCCAGCCCCAGGTGAGGGCAGGTCCCCGGTGCCAGTCCCAGGTGAGGGCAGGTCCCCGGTGCCAGCCCCGGGCGCGGGCAGCAGCTGCTGGCCCAGCAGAGCGTTCAGTAGCCGGCCCTTGGCGCCGCAGTTCTGGCCCAGGATGAGCAGGCATGGCCGCCAGCTCACCGAGCGCTGCAGCTGCTCCTCCTCGTGCCGCGGGAACCAGGCGGGGCCGGGGCCTGCAACGGGACAGCACGGCAGGGTCAGCCCTGAGGGGAAAACGGGGATTTAGGGGATTGTTCCTGAGGGGAAAATGGGGATTTAGGGGTCCGTCCCTGAGGGGGAAACCGGATATTTAGGGGCTCACCCCTGAGGGGAAAACTGCATATTTTTAGGTTCATCCCTGAGGGGAAAATGGGATATTTAGGGGTTCGTCCCTGAGGGGAAAATTGGATATTTAGGGGCTCACCCCTGAGGGGGAAACTGCATATTTTGGGGTTCATCTCCGAGGGGAAAACTGCGTATTTTTAGATTCATCCCTGGGGGGAAAATGGGGATTTAGGGGATTGTTCCTGAGGGGAAAATGGGATATTTAGGGGCTCACCCCTGAGGGGAAAACTGTGTATTTTGGGGTTCATCTCTGAGAGGAAAATGGGATATTTAGGGGTTCATCCCTCTGGGGAAAGTGGGACATTCAGGGGTTCATCCCGGAGGGGGGAAAATTGGATATGTAGGGGTTCATCACTGAGGGGGAAATTGGATATTTTGGGGTTCATCCCTGCGGAGGAAAATGGTATATTTAGGGGATTTTCCCTGAGGGGAAAATTGAATATTTAGGGGCTCATTCCTCAGTGGAAAATTGGATATTTAGGGGTTCATCCCTGAGGGGAAATTTGAGATTTTTAGGGGCTCATCCCTGAGAGGAAACCCAGCAGCCCGGGGAGGGATGAACCTCAGGGAAGGCACTTTGCTGGCAGCCAGAAGGTTCTGGAACAGCCTCAAACCCCTCAAACCCAGAGCCCACAAATGTCCCACAAACCCCACAAACGTCCCTCACACCCCACAAACGTCCCTCAGATCCTACAAATGTCCCTGAGAGCCCACAAACCTCCCTCAAACACCACAAACATCCCCCCTCCTCGCTGCTCCAACAATAAATAAACTGGCAGAGTTTGCAGGGGTTGGTTTGGAGAGGAAGAAAAGGAAATTTCTCCACATCTGCCTCCCTTCCCGAGCTCGATGTCCTCACCCTCCTTACTCATCTTCCCTCAGCAGCGTCATGAGCGAAGAATTCCAAGGTCAGTGGGATGGAACAACTCCCTGCCCTCACCTGGTTGCACTAATTCAGCCCCCGGGGCTCAGTTTGGCTCCTGGTTTCTTTTTTAAAAAGTCCTAAATCTGGCTTTGGGAAGAGCTAAATTCAGCGTTACCCTCGTGCATAGCAGCAGGATGACTCTGAGCCCTAAAAATGTGGAATAACAAACAAATCCCTCAGGATTTTGTATTCAGGAATACAAAAATTCCAGGGCACAAGGGCCAGGAATGAAATTAAATGGGAAATGGAGGTGCCAGTCCCTAAAAATGCCCAGTTTGAGAGCTACAAACCATCAGGATTGCTCTGGCACTGGAAGGAGCAGCAGGGATTTTACAGGGAAGGTGCTGTTAAAATTCTTCTTTTCATGAGTCATGTTCTGGCAGCCCAAATTGTCAGGAAAACAAGATCCTCCCCTTCACCAGGATCCTCCTCACACGCCAAACCTGATTAAAGAGATCCTACAACACGTCCTGCTCCTCACTCTGACAGCTTAATCACTCCAGTTTAATTAAAACCAGCCAAATTTGGAGCTCTTTGTGTAGTCTTCGATTGGTTTAAAGCTTCTTTAAAACCCTGCCCGAGGTTTGCATTCCTCTCAAATCCTCCAGCTGGAAATAGGATTTTGGCAGAGATTTTTCTACCCCGAAACTAAGGGAAAATTCTCTTTGTGGCTCAGCACTGCACCTCTGCCCCACAGAACCCCAATTCTGAGCCCCAAACCCCGAGTTTGGGAATAGTTTAAGGCAGGAATTTCTCCTTGAAGTGCGATTTTTGAATTTGTTTTCCAAACAAGCCTTTCAAGAGCCACATCAAGTGACCAGAGGGCTGGAAGCTGACCAGGAGCTCACAAAAGATAAAGATCTGTGAAAAATCCCACAAATTGCATATTTGAGCCTTCATCTGCAGGATGAAGGATGGCTTTGATCTGGGGACATTCCTTGGAGCTTCTCCTGGGATTCAGGCTCCAGAACATGAAAAAAGCAATTCAGGGAGGGCTGCATAGGCAGAGCCTTTTCCCTGCTGAGGCTTCTGAAGGGAAAAGAGGCAGCAAAGCTCCCTCTCCTCATTTCAGGCAGGTTTGGAATTTGTGGATCCTTAAATCCAGCAGAAATATCCCCCAAAAAATCACTGAGATACAGCAGCTTAACCGGAATTATTGAAGATTATTGATATGGATGGAGATGCAGAATCCTGGGATGGTTTGGGTTGGACCTTAAAGCTCATCCTGTTCCTCTGCCACCTTCACTATCCCAGGATGCTCCAACCTGGATTTGGACATTCCCAGGGATGGGGCAGCCACAGATTCCCTGGGAATTCTATCCCAGGGCCTTCTCACTCTCACAGGGAGGAATTTCTCCCTATATCCCACATAATCCTTCCCTCCTTCAGCTTGAGCCCGTTCCCTTGATGAAATTCCCATACGAAAATTCCTTTTCTAGTCTTCTTGGAGCTCTTTTGGCTACTGAAAAACTGCTCCAAAGTCCTCCCAAATCCATCTTTTCTCCAGGATCCAAAGTTAAAACACCTTCCCTGTGATTCCACACCCCATGATCAGCACAGACACGTATCCAGGGTGGGAGGGACTCAGCAAAAAGTGGGATCAGAACTTCTCCTGAGGTCTTCCCAAATCCATCTTTTCTCCAGGATCCAGGGTTAAAACACTTCCCAAGGTCCTCCCAAATCCATCTTTTCTCCAGGATCCAAGGTTCAAACGCCTTTCCCTGTGATTCCACACCCCATGATCAGCACAGACACGGATCCAGGGTGGGAAAGACTCAACAAAAAGTGGGATCAGAACTTCCCAGAGGGATGCAGCGACATTCCCGTGCCCAGAGGGGCAGGAGCTGGAGCTCCATCCCGGATCCATCCCGGACCCCAGCTGGGATGGGCCATGTGATGAACACTTCAATCCAGGGAGCCCCAGGGCGTGCACATCCCATGAATTCCCGGGATAAAAGGAGGCCTGTCCACGGAACAAGGGCGGCTCTCAGCAGGAATCGTCTCCAAATCCACTCAAAGCTCGGATTTATGGAATCCACAGACGCTCCAAGCATTGACTCGTCCCTTTTCCACCACTTTGATGGCCTCACTTCCCCTTACTCCACTTTCCACGCCCTGATTTTGCCAATATTGGGGCTTTTCCAAGGATTCCGGCCATTTCTGAGCTGCTGGCTGTGACTTCCAGCAGGCTTTGACCACCACAAGATTTAATCTCAACACTTTTGTATCCACTGAGGTGTCCAAAACCAACTTGGAGTAATGTGGAATGTGGGAGACTGGATGGGGTTTAAGGTCCTTTCCAACGCAAACGAGGCTGGAATTCTAAATAAACCCACTTTTAGTTCCATATCAGCACAGAGGTGTTGATTCCAGGAGAAAAAAAATCCAATTAATTCTGATTTCAGGAGCTCCAAAGGCTGCAGAACCAAATTCCATCCTCTGAAGCTCTTTGGGAAATCCTCCTTTCATCAGAGGAGTTATTCCACATATCTCTCCCCAGCCACCTTTCCACTGCTCTTAAATCCGACTTTTTACCCCCAAAAGGAGCCGTGATATTTAGGGGATCACAGTGACATCAGCAGAACTCACATTTGAACAGGATAAATCCCTCAGTCAGCAGAGATCAGCACCAAAAACACCTCCAAACCCTCCGGAGATCTCCCTAAAAATTATACTTATTTATGGAAGCTGAGCCCTAGCATACACCATTAAGGGAACCCCCCAGCTGCTGCCCAAAACTCTGGGGATTTTCTCCAAAATTCCTAAAACAAAGCAAAAGAATCCTCCAAACCCTCAGGTTTCCAGGTCAGATTGTTCCAGTTATTACAGGCCCAGCACAAAGAAAACAACCCCAATGAGCTAAAAACAAATTGATTTTTTTTTCATATCTTTACCTATTTTAATGTTGCAAGTCCCTAACTCAGGTTTTGTTTTTACAGCTCCCCAGGAAACCTCAGGATTGGAGGAAACCATTCCCAAAAGGCAATTCCTGCAACACCATCCCAAGATTCTGTTTGTACACCCATATAAATAATCCTTTAATTATTGCTGTATCTCAAGTGATTTTTTTTTTTTTTTGGGAGGGATTTTTTTGGCCTGAATTAAAGGATCCACAAATTCCCAGCCTGCCTGGAGCGAGGAGAGGGAGCCCTGGGGAACAGCCAGGATTTTGTTGACTCTCTGGGAAGAGCAAACACGACTTTCCCTTCCCTCACAAACAGTGGCTGCCCCTGGATCCAGCTCAGTTCTGCTCCCAGGAGTAACCTCAGAGTAACCTCAGAGTAGCAGCCTTGGAATGCTGGGTGTTGTGTCACCCTCCAAGCAGGGAAAGTGGGAAATAAAAGGATTTATTTGCTCCTTGAGCTCACCTGAGAGGCTCAGGGGCTGCTGCTCAGCACATACTCAGCCCTGGTTGTGTTTGGAAGCTGATCCAAAGGGAATTTCCATCCCTGTGCTGTCCCCATCTGTCCTGCAGGTGCCCCAAAGGCAAACCCTTCACATCTGTTCGGTTTTCAAGACATCCACGTTTATTTCCCAGGTTTCTTTCCCACTTCTGCCCCCGGGGAATTGTGTCCTGTCCACTCCACTGCCCAGTTCTCTCTGTGCTGCACAAAACTGACCCTGCACAAGTCCCTGGGCAAAATTCCTCCACTTTGGAACCACTTGAAGGGCAGATTTTGGGGAAAAGTCAAGGAAAAATGTGCTCCTTAAACCTACTGACACCTAAAATCCTCCTTAGGGGAAAAAGGACAATTTCCACAATCCTAATTTGATGGCAGCCACGTCCAGCTTGGCTCTGGGGACTCCCAGGGATGGGGCAGCCATGGATTCTCTGGGAATTCTATCCCAGCCCCTCCCACCCTCCCAGGGAAGGATTTATTCCCAATATCCCATCCAAACCAGCACAGGGAATCCTGGAATGGTTTGGGTTGGAAGGGATCACCCAATCCCATGGGCAGGGACACCTCCCACTATCCCCTGCGTGCAATTTGATCCTTTTTTAACACTTTATCCATTTTTTTCCATTTCATCCACTGTCCAGCCTGGCCAGGGACACTTCCAGGGATGGGGCAGCCACAGCTCCTCTGGGAATTCCATCCCAGCCTCTCCCCACCCTCCCAGGGAAGGATTTATTCCCAAAATCCCATCTATCCCTGCCCTCTGGCATTCCCTGTGTGTTGGCACTCCATCCCTTGGAAATAATCCATTTTTTCTCAATTCACCCTAAATCCTTATCTTCTTCAGGCAGAACAATCCCAAATTCCAAGCATCACAGGCTCACCTGTCCTGGCTCTGCCCCTTCCCAAAATCTTGCTCCCCACCCAGCCTGGTGAGAGGGGCAGCAGCCACTTCCCAAAATCCCGATGTGTTCCCAAAACCTTTCCAGCCACAACTCCACAGTACCACAAGGGCAAAACGAACCCCAAATCAGCCCAAAAACATTTTTTTTTTTTTTAAACACAGACAGAAAAAACTCAACACCTCAAACCAAGACTTGGAGTGCAAGACAAGGAGGGACAAGGATCCTGGACAAGTGGCCAAGAGAGATGACTCAGGAGCCATTTGGGGATGAACGAAGAAGATCTTTATGGACTTTTCACGTCTCACTGAGCTCCTCTCACGAGACAGTCTTATGGAAACACCGAGTGCTGCCCGTGGCAGGAGAGGGGCCACCCGCAGCTCTGTTTGTCAACAGCAGCAGATGACCAGAGAGGCCCTGAATGAGGCCACTATTCCCACGGAACTCCGGGACAAACAGGGAATGCCGGCCCCTCATCCCACCCAGCCAGGTGCTGCCTCCTCCGAACCCCACTCCCTGTGGGGCTGGAGCTGCAGGTGGGGCTCAGGGACAGGGGGAGAGTGTCCCCATCATGAAATCATGGGAAGGAGCCACAAGGATCATGGATCCAGCTCCTGCCCCAACAATCCCACCCTGAGCATCCCTGGGAAGCGGGGGCCAAACGTTCCCGGAGCTCTGCGGTTGTGTCCATTCCCTGCAGAACCTGCTCAGTGCCCCAAAACTCTCTGGGAGAAGAATACTTTCCTCATATCCATCCTAAATCCCCCCTAAATCAGCCCCTGCCCTCCTCCCTTCACCCCACAAAGCCTCTCACACCCTCCAGGCACCTCCAGCCCTGTAACCCCCATTACATCCCCCTCAAGCCGGACACTTCACTCCGCACCGCAACCCTCACAAGCCCTCCCGAGACCCCCTCACCCCTATAAACTTCCCCTTTACCCCCACAGATCCCTCACCCTCGCACCCCCCGCCCCAGCGAGGCCTCCCCGGCCGCCCCCGCCGCTCTCTCACCGCCATCCCCGGGACCCCCATCCCCATCCCCGGCGGAGGGGGGGCCGTCACCGGCAGGCGCCGAGGCGAAGGGATGTCCCTGGGAGTACTTGACATCGCGGAAGAACCTCTTGGTCTCTCGCAGGTTGTGCTGTAGCCGCGCCAGGTGCCGGTTGTAGTGGCCGAAAGAGCGGCAGAGCTCCCGCACAGCCCCGCCGGGACCCCGCCATGACGGGGCCTCCTCGCCCTCCATGTCCTCCGGGTCCGCCCCGCTATCCCCTCCCCACCGCGGGCCGCACTCGGGCCCCGCCAGGCTGCCGCTGTTCGGGGAGGAACCTCCCCGAGGATTTCCTGGCCTCCCGACCCCCCCCACCCCCCGCCCCTCCCGCCTCCCCGACCCCCGCGGCCGCCGCCTTCCCCAGAGGGGAAGCGCCTCCACCAGCCGCGCTGCGTGTGCGCGGAACGTTTGTCAGCGCGCCGCAGGGCAAAGGGGGAGGAGGCTGGGCGCACCCCGCGCGCGAGGAACGCTGGGAGATGTAGTTTATTTACGTTAAAATGTAGTTCATTATCCCGGCGCGCGGGGGGACGCCGGGAGTTGTAGTCTGTTGTGCCACAAAGCCTTATGGAAATTGTAGTCTCTCGAAGCGCGGCCGCCGACCTCTCTCCGCGGCCTCTGCGCAGCCCCGCGGAGGACGAGAAAAAATACTCCAAAAAAAGAGAGCCAACATAAAAAAACGTATTGAAAAGGAGGGAGCAAAAGGGGAAGGTGAAACGTCGCCCGCTGTTCCCCCATCCCGCGCTGCGCGGAGCGGCTCGGCAGGAGGCGGCCCGCCCGTCTCCAGCTCCGCTCCGCCTCCGCGAATCACCAGCGGCGGCCCCGCCCTCCGCTTATCCTCATTGGTTAATTCCTCCCGCCAGCACCGCCCCCCTGCCACTCTCCACCAATCACTGCGCGAGGCACCTCCTCTCTCGCATCGCCATTGGCCGGCGGCGCTGTCCGTCAGGCGCGGCGGCGGCGGCGATGCCGGTGCCGGCGGCGGGCGCGGAGCCGCCGCGGCGCGGAGCCGCCGCCCGGCCCGGGCTCGGCGGGGCGGGCGGGCCGGGGCCGCGCAGCCCGCGGGCCCCGCAGCGGCCGCCGGGGCGCCGCCCGCCGCCGGCACCGCGGCCGTAGGCGCCCCCCGCGCGCCGCGGGCACGGCGCTCCCGGGATGAAGCGGTGCCGCTCGGACGAGCTGCAGCAGCCCGAGGAGGATCCCGGCGCCGCGGGGGAGTCGCCCGGTCACGGCGTGATGGAGGGCAAGGCCGGCGAGGCGGCGGCGGCCCCCGAGGCGGGCGCTGTCCCGCCGCCGCCGCGCTCCAAGCCCCCCGACCTGAAGGTGAGCGGCGGGAGCATCCCGGTGGGACACGGGAAAATCCCGTGGGATCGGCGGAGGGTTCCCGGTGGTGACCGGCGTGGGGACATCCCAGCGGGGTCACCGGAGCGATGGAGCTCGGGGATGTCCCCATCCCCCCGGTCCTACAGGTGTGACCTTGGAGAATGCGGGATGGCTCCTGGATAGGGGCGCTCCGGGATTGGGATAATCCTGGGAGTAGCGTGCTCCCGGATGAGGATACCCCTGGGAATAGGATGCTCCTGGATTGGGATGCGCCTGGGATGGGGACGGTCCTGTTCCGGGGATCCTACTGGATGAGGATGCTCCAGGGATGGAGACACTCCTGGGATGAGGATGGTGCTGCAATAGGATGCTCCTGGGATGAGGATGCTCCTGGGATCGGGATGGTCCTCGAATGAGGCTGGTCCTGCAGTGAGGACACTCCTGGGACGGGGATTGTCCTGGGATGAAGGAATCCCAGGTTGGGAACAGGGCGGTGGGAGCTGCCCCCCTGCCGAGGGGCTGCGCAGATCCCGGGAATTCCCTGCCGGGAGTCGGGGGGGATGCTCCGGGAGGACCCGGGAGGATCCGGGGCTGCGGCACCGGGAGTGACGGTGTGGAAATGGCCCCGAGGCTGCTCCTGCCGGGCCTCGGGGCCGGTGGATGAGGAAAACAAACCCCGCGGCACTGCAGCGCTGCGGGAGGGACAGAGCCCATCGTGGAGCGGGGATCCGGCCTGAAATCCGGCACGGGATTCCCCTGGGATTGGGAAAGAGGCAGCTCCGACCCCCGGCTGTTCAACAGGGTTTTATCCCGCAGGGATGAATTCCCAGCGTGGAACTTCGGGGCGTGCGGGCGTGGGAATGCCGTGGGCAGAGTGGGATGGGCTCAGAGGCTCCCCTGTGGTGGGATGGACGGAGGGGATGCTCCCACTCCTCGCTCTCAAAAATCCCCGGAAAAATTGGGAAATGTCCCTGCTCAGCCACGGGACCCAGGATGGAGCCCCTCGTTGTGGCAGCCCAGGTGGCCCTGAAGGTGTCACCAGCGCGGTCAAGGTCACCAGGAAGCCGATGGCACAGCCAGGAGTGCCGAGCCTGCTGCCATCCCTTCCAAAAAGGCAGCCAGGAGAGCAAATCCCTGCTCCCAGAGGAAAACTCGGCTGCTGTGAGCACAGGGAGCCCCAGGACACTGCTGGAGGTGACACGGTGGCACATGGGGCCTTCCCCTCGATGGCCCAGCAGCTCCTGCCCCAAAAAGAGCTGGAGGAGCCAGGGCTGGGCACATCCACGGGCTGGGAGGGTGGCACAGCTGATCCCAGAGGAGCTGTGGCTGCCCCTGGATCCCTGGAAGTGTCCAAAGCCAGGCTGGACGGGGCTTGGAGCAGCCTGGGACAGTGGGAAGTGTCCCTGCCCACCCAAACAGGGCCTGGAACTGGATGTGTTTTAAAGTCCCTTCCCAGCCAAACCATTCCATGATTTTTCAATTCCGTAATTCCATGATCCATGAGGATGTGGAGCTCAGGGCTGTGCTTGCCTTGGTGGCTTGGGACACCCCAAGGGTTTCCCACCCCAACCTGGGGTACTGAGGCTCAGAAAGGGATGGGAACGTTGGACAAAAAGAGCTGCAGCTTCCCATGGCTGCTCCCAGCACCCCAGAAATTCCAGGACTGGCACATCCTGCCCAGAGCCTCATCCATCAGCCACATCCGAGGCCAAATAAATCCCCATCGATTTTATCGAGCTGGCCGTGCTGCCCTCCCGCAGGTTGGCTGCCAGTGCTCACCTTTAATGCTCCTGGAGCTGAGCAATTAATTAAAATAAATCCTCCAAGTGGGCAGAGCACAGGGGAAGCTGGGGCTGGCTGCTGCCCGCAGCTGCCACTGGGCACCGTGCCACGGCCACCACGAGTGGCATGGTGAATAAATCAGAGCTCTCCTGCCCCAAACCCTCTCTGGAGCTGCTGCTGGGGCGGCTTCAGGCTGGTCCTGC